TCACTAATGTATTTTTTTGATTTGTCAAAAACATAAAGTTTATTTTACAAGGATTGAATAGATACAATTTTTCGTATAAAAATAAATTCAATTGTACAAAAAGATTACTAAAAATAACAATTAGTATTCTTTTTTGTTTTTCCTTCAACGTCGTTTTCCGCTAACAGGGGTGTGGGTGTGGGTGGGTGTGTGGGTGTGGGAGTGGGTGTGGGTGTGAGTTATTTATGTGAACCCTGACATTCGCCGCTTACATGCACACCCACACTCCACACCCACACCCATCCACACCCACACCCACACCCCAATTAGGACAAAATGAAATTGAAAATGTAAGAATGTCAAGAAAAGAAAAAAATGTTCAGTTCTGGAAAACTCTCGTGCGTGATAGTGTTCAGAAGGCATGAATTCAATATTGAAATAATTTTTAATGTTTTATTTACAGAGAAATCGAATCAACCAATAAAAAAAAGACTATAGCAACATGAAAATATAAACTATAGAATTGTTTGATATCTCAGTGAAGAAATGACCGATTTTCACCTATTTTGTCGTTATTTTTTCTGTATCAATAAGTATTTTTCGGTATAGTGTAACACAAAGCATGGCCTGTGCATCAAAGGATGGTCGATCGTTGTGTTTACCATTTGTTGAGATGAGGAGTGTGAGAAACTTTACAAATTTGAGTTTCCAAACTAAAACTTGAGGAAAGTGTATTTTACAACTATTGGAATCAAAATCGATCAGATATTGAATGTTGTAATTTAAATTAGGCTAAAATCAGATATTTTTTTTTAATTTGACATGGCTTGTCTAGTTTCTTGTCAGTTAGGTGTCTGCCAGCAGTTTCTATCTGTTTCATTTCAAAATCTCTCAAAACCGTAAAAGTTTTAAAAAGCGTCGTTGACAACGTCGAGCCGCAGCCTCTGTGGACATAAAAAAACTTTCCATTTCTCAGCTACCGTCGGCAATCAACTCATCAGCTCATATCTCTAGACACCAAGCAACAATGTGTTCGAAAAATCTTAACTTGTTGAACAGCTATCAACAGTGTGCCGTTCTATTGGACGACTTTTATAGATAATTCCATAACATACCCTCGAAGTGAAAAGAATATTTGAATAGAGTCTTGGAACATAAGTCAAGTATGTTGTGTAAACAAACTGTTTCGATGATAGTATATCTAAATAGATTATGTTCTGATATTTTATTTCATTATACGCATATTCATTTTTTAGTTTATCATTTTTACTTTCGTCTGATTTTGAATTAATTCAGTACTCTTTTTTTTCAAAGAAAATATGGCACAAACACAAGTTGACACCGAAAATCGAATATTGCCATCAACCATTACCAATGTGAATGGGCATTATCGACTAGATAGCACACTCATATTCTAAACTATTTCTCTTTTATTTAATTTTCACAGTTTTCAATTCTAATAAAATATATGCACAGAAAACTGACCCTGCTTAGTTTCTTGTAAACAGTATCACATGTGTAGAATCATCGTAAATAGCGTATCATTATCTTCGGTAATTGTAACCTTCATTTACAGTGAGGACATGAATTTTTAGAGCATTTCTCTGATACAATGAAAAGAGTTTTGAAGTGCGAAGCATATTTCGCTTTTTTGATGGTGTAAGAATCTCATCAGATACTAGTATACTCTGTACCAGTATTCATTTTACAATAAAAGAATAGTAAATCCACCTATATTTCGATCACATATCCAGCACGCGCGAACATAATCTTTTTTTGTCGTTTGGGATTAGATTGGATGCTCTTGTTACACCTCATCCTCAATTGAACACTTGATAGTACCTATCAAGGAAAATCTTAAGTCAGGATATCGATAAATTTGCCGGGATCAACTGCAGCAAACAGTCTTCCCTCATATCCAATATTCAACATTTCTATACAGTAGTCTATTTTCTTCACATAGTTCTGCAAGAGAGAGAAAATACAAGTTTCGATTATTCATCATTAACGTTGGTTGGTAGGCCTTCCAACTACGTTTTTTGAATCAATAATAACAAAAACAGCCATTGTTTCTTCCACTAAATATTCTGCATCGTTATTTCAACAAAGTTTTACGCGACCTTTATTTCATATTTCTATTGCAGTGTTCATTTGTATTTTTCTTCTGCAGCTGTCGATTAGGGTCATTTGAAATGATCTCTAATCGTTAACTCAAAATTCTGAACTCGACTTGTTTCTCCATTTTTTTAATAAAACAGCTTATAGTTCTTGTTTTACAACGCTTCGATAGCATTCCTCTAGCTTCTTCTTTTTTTCTCTCCAATAATCACATTCGGATAAACTACACACTTCCACTCGACATGGTTTTGAGAACCCTCTCAACATAACGACGACAACCTTTCGAGCTCTTTTTTTTCTATAATGTTTTAAGAGTTCTTTGAGATATTTTTTGACACATATTCGACATTTTTGACGCTCTTTTCTCAATTTACTGTCGAGATCCATAGCAAAGTTACCATATATTTCGAAAATCTCGAATCACCAAGAACTTTTCGGTGGTATCTGATTTTAATGATTGTTCCTGTCGTTCAAAAAGTCGTTCTACGTCTTTTTTGGTTTTCCCGTCCAACATCAACATAGTTACACAAAAAATAGGAATTTAAGCAGATAATGCTCAAAAATATCCAAAACTTGAGAGATCGAATAATGTATGATGTTACAGAAAAAAGTGATAATGAAAGGTCAAATACAACGAATCATAGATACATCAACTAGAATAGCTAGACAAAAGCGAATAGCATCGATTTTGTTTCCATTATATATGTCTTCAAAAGATATCGACCAAAGAACGAATGTAATTTTTTTTGTTGTATTATGAACCATTGTATCGATCGTTCTGCAGAGAAGAAACTATCAACCAGAGCGGCAGTAACTGATGGTTGTCGACTAAATGAGATGTAAATATCGACCGTACCGTATTCTCTTGTTTCCACTAAGAACATAGTGACCTCCTCTCTGAATGATGTTCTGTGATGATTCACAACCAAAGAAGCAAATATTCACATTCAGCTGATTGCGAAATTGGTATAGAAGAATGTGTCGGCACGAGAAGCAACTATTGATACTTGTTGATTAAATAAATACGAAGGTTCATTAGACGATATTCTCTCACATTCACAACGAACAGAGTAGAATTTTCTCCAGATGATATTCAAAAGTGGTGAATAAGCAAAAACTAAAGGACGCAAATATTTACAGTTATTTGATTGCGACGTTGAGTACATGATCAACGGAATGAAAGTAAAGGGAGAGACGATCATAATAAAAGTACAGTTTTATTAAAATATTGTACTCTGTTTTTTTATGTTGATTAGGTCTGATGCGTTCTCGAGAGAAGAGATAGTTTTGGGTGTGAGGATGGATGTTTGGCATGGGTGGTGGTGCGGGTATTGGTGTGAGTCTCCTTTAAACTCACAGCTATTCCACATCCACGCCTGCTCACATTCACTCCCACACCACCATTGACACTCACACAGCCACACTTACACTCCAAATCACACATGTGTAGGAAAAAAACCGAAAATAAAACTTAATCAAGTTTGGTCACAGGAAACTAAAAATGAAATCAATCAAGGCCAAGATCATAACCACAATTTAAAACTACATGAGATCCTTAACTCTGTCATTTTTCAATTGACACCTTTCATGCATCGTCGATCAATGGATTGCTTTCGTAATAATATGTTCTAATGCAGGCAACAAATATATAATAAATTGGACAACATAAACCCAAATAAATTCTGAAAAGATCGAATGTCAATCAATAAATAAATCACAATCATATAAACACCTGTAAAACAAATAAACAAGTGTATCATTATGAACAAAAAAAAATATGTTGTCATCATCATCAGATTGCATTTAGTTACCTTGTTCACTGGAGGGTTCTTTTAACAATGATGACATACGTGGTCGAATTTATGGTGTGAGTTCATTTGCTTTTGTGCATGCAAGTGAATGTTTTTCAAAGCATGTGTACGATAAGATGTTTATCCCAATATTTACTTTTTTGCATAAGAAGGTTTCTAGAAAGACAAATATTAAAGCATAGGAATGATAGAAAGACCTAAATAAAACTAATCACTCTTTGCACTGATAAGATTGGAAGTAAACGACTGTAGGACACAATATTTTTGCAATTTTTATCATATTCCTGCCCTGATTAGCAAAATTTTTCTCTTAAGCTGCTCCATTGTGCCGTGAAGCAGAAAAATATTTCCCCATACTTCAATGAAAAGTGTGAGTGTGGAGTTGGTCGTGGGTGGGTGTGTATGAAAAGAAAACGCACATCAACACCCTAGTTTTAGTCATTTTTCATTGGATTAATAAAGTTTTACCGATTAAAAATAGCTTTTAACAATCAATTAAGAATGATTAAAATTAAATAAAACGCATTTTTAAAGTTGAACAATCTGATCTTTTCCTGCTTCCTTACTGGAAAATCTTCCTCGGTAAAACAAATAAAGTTCGAGCCGATCGGCATATTTTGAAGCCTCGTACACTAGTTATTGGTTGGGATGGTTAACAGCAAAATATTTATATTCATATGCTCAATATAAATATTTGGCATTTAATCAAAGGAAGCGCAATACAACATATCGATTTGAGAACACCATTGAAATTGAATCAAACGACGAGAAAAGATAAAAATCATAATCTTAGAGAAGAGATGAAGAAATCATCGATGATTAGTAAATAAACTATATCAAATAGTAAATTTTATTTTTTAGCATGTATTTCTGTTCGGTAACGTTCAGTTGAAATGACTAGATTAACAGTATATTTTTTATAATGTATAGAAATAATCAAAGTTTTTGATTATTGATATAAATTTAGTTTAAATGGCATTCATATATGTCTGTGGTTAAAATAAAATCAAGAAATTATAATTATCAAAATCATTTATTGATGAAATTGATAAATTTCTTTCAAGTGTTCTTCGAAAAATTATTGAACAAGCACTAAAAATGATTCAAGATATAAGTTGATTGATCGAATACGCATTCTCAAGTTATCGAAAACTGACTATTATAAATCTGTGTCGCATTTCAGATTTAAAAGAAAAGAAATATTTTCTTTTTAAATTTTCATTATTAATTATTCAAGAATTTATCTTTTACAAAGACTCACAGATAAGTGAGATACTCATCGAAAATAAAAAATGACGTTATAACGAAAAATGCACATATGTTAGTTTTGGGTCACCTGTGCGTAGATACATGTATGACGCATACACTTACGCAAAATGATGACGACATCACTAAATCTGATCATTTTCTATTCATTAAGTCTTACACAACAAAAACAAAAACCAGTAGCATAAAGTCATGACTGTGACTTTGTTATTCATCAATTAAGTATAAATAGAGACACACATTTACATTTAGTCTAATTATCAAACAAATACTATTGATTAAATACAAAAACAATTTTGTTGAAAATGAACACAATGAAAGCTGTAATGATTTTCTTAGTCTGTTGTACGCTTTTAATAAGAAATGTTTGTTCAGCACCAGCACATAATAGTACATTGAATGTATCAACTATCCATGCCTTGGCATATATACCACCATGTACAATGACAAAAACAAAATGTTATGGTGTTGTATTGGCATGTCGTAATTATCGTTGTCAATTTAGTACACTTTGTAGAAATTTTTGTTGTGAAAAATCATGTGGATCATGGTATGTTTGTGGTGCATGTTTTGGATTACCTTTTGGCTAAAACTCATTTCTTGATTAGATCCATAAATTTCGTTTTTTTTTCATTCATTGTTTTTTTTCTGTTTTGTTAATTTTTTAATAATATTTAATCAGTTTTTTCTTTATAAAATATTATATCAAATACTATCGATCAATATTTTGGAGATAGTACACAAATCAGTCAATAGTTCTGTAACAGTGAGAGCCTGCCATTGTGAAACATGATCTAAAAGGAATGTTGAAGTATGGGGGTAGATATTTGGAGTTTCTGTCCTCAGAGACTGGGTCAGACGTTGGAGGATGAAGTAAAATGATGATCATGGATTATATCTCGAAATAGGTAGAGTAAAACAATCATTGTATGATTAGCAGCAGCAGCTACATCGTCGTTCACATTTTAATCCGACAGATATTGCGGTAACAGCTATTTTTTTTCGTTAATTAGTATGTTACCTGATCGTTCGGTTGACATCCGTAAATCATTACAATTGCAAGAATTACTTGCTCGTGAAGAACTTGCATATTTAATTGAAGAAGAAGTAGCAAAATTAATAATACATAATTGACTTAATATATGTTTAAAACGTATTAAAGCAAAAGATCAAACAAATGTTATTACAAATTTACAACGTGGTAATAAATTAGTATTTTATTGTAAAGCAGAAACACAATAACAATAAATGAATAATCCCAACAAACAACATATAATGTAGATAGTGACGAAGAACGATGAATAGAAAATCTTGATAGAACAACTACAGTACTAACATCTTTCAATAATTTCAACGTAGGATATATACCTTCTATATCAACAAAATATTACTTTGATGTTAAGTAGTGATGAATCTTATTTAACGAGTAAGTAAGAAAGAATGGAGTAATACTATCATTTTTTAGACTCATGTTCTTTTTTTTGTCTGTAGTAATTAACAGTATAATTTATAATGGATTGTAATACATATTGAAAGTTCAAAACATCAGAGAAATTTAAAATGAATTTTGACTTGATATTTATCTTTACAAAAGCAAACGCATTAATTTTTCTTCTTTCTATTTTTCTTTTAATTCAATTTAAAATTTAAATAAATTTTTATGTATACGTAAACTGCAAATGAACTTATTTTTAACTTGTGTCACATGTCATTTTTCTCATGGCTCTATTCAGATAATCTTTCATCTTGTCTGAACAATCGATTCAAGACGTGAGAGAATGTTTGTTCACACACCAGCATTTCATACATGATGAGGTAATACAAGAAATTTACAGATGTAAAGGCTTAATTTATTTTCTATCTATTAAAAATATAGCGAAAATTGACGTTTTTTTTACAATTCTCAGGACATTTAAATAAGATCAAGAATGGAGTAAAAGCCTTTTTCTTTTTTTCTCATTTCGGTCAACCTGAAGTTCAGCAATATTTAAATGATTCTACTCGAGATGTGTGAATCAGAGTTTTTGATCTCGGTTACAGTCTCGATATTGGCTTCCGCCTAGAAAGAACTACTGGAAAAGGTGTGCAGTTGATTTCTCGAAGTGTTCAAGAATTTGGTTTTTAGATTGATTGAGTCCACAAATGTCATTACTTTTGATTTTTGCTCTTGACTTATTGTGTGGCAGGCATTACATATAAAACAAATTTCTCAGAGATGACAGAGCGTCTAAAATTCAAACTGGGTTCCGTAAATATGTACATTTTACCATCAACCTAAAGTCGCAGTTTTGTGAAACACAATCTAAAAGAAGTGTTGAAGTACATCGGGTAGAAACACATAATATTATGACAAGTGTATTATTCCATTACTTCGTTGAATGATGAATCTTAAAGAATTAATATTATTCCTGTTAATAATAAAACTTGACTCGATATAGTATATAATTAATCTCTTGATTTGACACCATTGATTTTGTAGTGTTTTACTCTTTCAAAAAGAAAATTGATTTGCAATTCTCTCATCATCTCATAGTAAATTTAATGTAGGTAATGACCATCGTATCATCATCTATCTGTCGAAGGATAATATGGACGAGCATGTACTACAAAGGAAATTTATGCTCTTGTTTTCCTCGCCTAGTAACAATTCATAGTTGAATTTTACATCATTATTTTAAAATGATAACTTCTTGTTTGTTGTTAGTTTATGGTGCGCAATAACGATTTCTAGAATGAAAATATTTCTACTCCCAACAATAGTGTTAACACTAATCATGATTCTTTAACTGATTTATTTCACTGCTTCGTTCTACAGATTGACTATTCATTGAGATGATGTTTATTGAACTCGTTGTTTTCGATCACAAAGCAGATCGTGTAGCTGGCTCCTACAACGGTATTTGTGGCATTTCCATGACATATTGTAACACATGCCCTTGCACAATTTGAAAATTGCAAATCTATGGTGAACACATCGTACTCGAACAATGGGGATAGTATCTTTCAGAAGTGAAGAATAATTTGTTCTGTGAATATCCGAATACCACCGAGGCGAAATGCTATGAAGGAAACTTGTATTTGGTATATACTACATGCAGCCCGTAATAGCCAAGGGACGCACCCACACTGGAAATACGTACATTTAATTGTCTATTTTTGTTTGTAAGTAAATAAATTTATTCTTTGATGATACATGGAGACAAATATGGTTGCATGATAGGCTTCCATTCTCAATACGAGTTTATTTATCATTAATTTTGTTGAAAAAGTAATTAGAAAGTCTACTCACTAACAAGAATATCTCTTTTTATTTTCTTCCAATACACTAACAAATAATTCTTTCGAGTCTTTCATACGATTGGAAATCATTTCTTTTATTCAGCTTTGTTACGTATTATTTTGTCAGTAAATGAAAATCTGGAAAAGAAAATTGAAAAGAATGAAGTGCCATTTTTTTTGAAATAAGAAAATAGTCCGTGGTAATTGAATTTAGCGTGTACGACAAACATTGCCACACTTTTGGTAAACATCTTCTATCTCCTTCAATGATTCTTCAGAGACTCAAGAAAAAGAAGATATTTTTGATCCTGAAGTTCGTGATATTGCAGACTAAGTATATCTAGATAAATATTGAATATTTATATACTAATATTGGCACACTCTATTGAAAAATGTTTCTGTTCTTATATGATATCCTTCATAATTTAATGTTATTATATTGTTTCTTATTTTTGAACGTTGTAAATTAGAGTGACTGGCAACGTTTTCAAGCATACCGTTTCAGATTATTGATCTACCTAGCATTGAGGTTCATGGAATCTTTTTGAAAATAAAAAATGCCGAATAATAAAGGTAACAGCTGATAAATAATGATTTACTTCCGTATGAAAGCAGTATGCTCGTGTTTGAACAGAATTATCGCAAAAATAATGATTACCATTTAAGTTGTCATTTATTTTGTCTGAATGGGAGGGGGAGGGGGGAATTCTGAAAACAATGTTTGAATGGAACATGATAAAAAATTGGTTATTGTTTGATTATAAAAATGCATTGAACACACATGACCAAGGTTTGATAAAACATTTTATTGTGGACCTGGTTCGTTTTCGTCATGTAAAATCGAAACGGAATTTTTGGTTTGCTTGTTCAATAGGTCTGAATTTGATCACATTCATTGATCAAATCTATTAGGGTATTAGTAAAATACGATCTGACCTACTCTGAACCTAAAGCTTAAAAAAACTAAACGGTCGGGAAAATGACATTATATCACATTGTGGTAAATACCAGATGACACTAGGCAGTTCAAAAAAATAGTCAAAAATTTGCTCCCATTATATTTGTACCGAAGCAATACAAATAGCATACAGTTTCAAAATGTAAAAGCTTTAATACCAATGATTCAAATGCAGTAGTCAACTTGAAAAAAGAAAATGTGGCTAGTTTTGTGGTCGAACTATAGACGCTGATCATCTAACACGATCAAAGACAGATTGAAGATTAATATGACATCTTTTTTCGTTTGGACTAAGATGTAATTTATTCTAGGTAATAGAGCTTGACAAAGTACAACAGTTGAAAGAGTTCAAAATGTTCGATCTTTCCTGCACTGAGTTCTTGCCCATCGACATTTGCAATACTTTGATTGGCAGAGAAAAAAAGTTCAAACCTATGAATAGATTCGTTCTGAGCTGAAATCTTTGACTTAGCTACTTGATGAAAAAGTTGGAAGTGCCCTATATCTTAACAGAAGCTTAATTTCTTGTTGCCTAGAAATGTCTCAAAATTCAGACACATCTAATCCACTTGAAAATTCTACAAATTGTGTAGCTCGATGTGCTTGCTTACAGATTAAGAAAGCTAAACTTTTCACTCAAAATACAATGGCAAGCTCTGATAGAGTGTCTTGGCACATCGTCACTTTTTTGGTGGCCTTCTATTAAGGGGGAGACAGTTATATCGCAACTCAGTAATAAAATACTTTTAATATTATAATAAAAACGTCAATGCATGTACGGTATGTTTTTGATGCGTTTGTTTTTCGTTGAAAAAAATACTCCTTAGTTAGAAATATATTATTAATGAAAATGCTCAAAGATGTTTCACAAAAAACCACTAGCAAATCAGATATTTTTCAAAATTTTTAATTCATGGTTTCCAAAAACTCAATGCTTTTGAAAAATATTAGCTAATAATCGTATGACTTTCTAATAAAGGATTACTGAAATTTTTCTTAAATATGGTCTTTTATAGGAAATATCCTTCTAATAAAGGATGACCGTCTATTTCAAAGTGGAAGGAGGAGTGAGGTGTAGAAAATTTTGAAAATTCATTTCATTGTCAGTGACTGAAAATATCTATTTTTTGTGACAGATTCACTCTTCATACTGTAATTTTTCATGCAACAAAGGATAAAGCCTTCAGAATAAATTCAAGTAGTAGAAGAGCATACAGAACAATCCGTTTTTATTCTATTTAATCAATCATTTTGATTGTTAACATTCTCTCTTTTGAAAAGTATGCCACTTTATGTCTCGCTTATCCAGCATTCACACATCTTCTGAGATATTTCATCACATGCAAAAGAAAC